AGACGGTGGGTGGTAGAAGTGCTAGTCGGACGCGTCAAGGGGGAAACCGAGGAAGACACAAGGGAGCGTGCGGGCACTGAGCTTGTCCGTGCCGGAGGCACGAACGTGAGCAAGGCAGCCTCAGACGTGGAACGCAGACGCGTCACCAGGAGACCTGGTCCAGAGGAGGGTCGGCGAAACCTGCGGCTGCTAGGGGTGCGGCCAGAGGTTATGCTGGTGAGCGGTGTAGCAAATAGCGAACGGCCACAGAAAATGGGGTGCACCGGCATGGATCATGGAGGTACGGGCCACCTCCATGACCAAGCCGATGCGTCGCTCGGCGACCCCATTCTGCTGTGGGGAGTCCGGCAGGGTGAACGTCTGGGTGATGCCCTCCGTACGACAGAAACGACCAAGGACACCAGAGGCAAACTCGCCACCACAGTCAGAGTGGAGACGCAAGACAGGGAGACCGCGGTGGACACGCGCAGAGACAAGCCACGGGATGAGAACGTCAGGCACGTCGGCCTTCCGCTCTAGGGGGAACACGGTGGTGTAGCGGGTGTAGTCGTCGACAAGCACTAGAAAGTAGCGCTCTCGACGCGGCCCATGGACGGGGGCGGGGCCCCAGACGTCCATGTGCAGGGTCTGTAGTGGTGCGGCGGTAGGGGGGAAAGAGAAGGAGTGAGGGGCATGGCGGAGCCGGCCCTCGACACAGGGCGTGCACGGTGGTGCTGGGGAGAAGGGCAACTCGGGGAACGACCCTGGGAGACCTAGGACAAGACCGTGCTGTGACATGTGACGTAGGCGCTTGAGGGCGGGGTGACCTAGACGGTGGTGCCACAGGAGTGTCGGGTGAGTAGGCGACCGACAAGAGCAGGCCGCAGCAACCTGGGTAGACGCAGCCACCTGAGACGACGTCCCTACCAGGGGGGTCGCAGTGTCCAGTGTGAACAGGCCGGACACCGGGTCCCAGGGGAACGTGGTGAAGGGGACACCAAATGAGGCCTCGGTACAAACAACGTACCGCTCGTGACCAGGGAATGTAGTGGTGACGCCAAGGTCCTGGAGGCAGCCGACACCAACTAGGTTTTTGGAGAACTAGGGGATGTGCAAGCCTGTAAGAGAGCCCGAAGGAACTGGTGGACAGGGAAGGGTGGTGGAACTGCGAGCAACTACCGGGCCGAAGGAGGGGTCGGCAAGGGAAACTGCAGCAGGAGTAGCAAGCGGCGTCTGTGTAGTGGAGTCACGGAAGAAACACCGAGAAGCGCCAGAGTCGAGGGTGAAGGAGAGTGCAGCAGTGGCGTCTGAAAACAGAGTAGCGACAGTAGAACCTATGCTAAACAAAGCAGGGGATCCTACGCCTGACGCAGCAGGGGAGGCAAGACTAGACATGCCTACACTAGGCAACAAGGGGTAGTAAGAAGCAGTCACACTGGAGTCATCAGCATACATCACATGTAGGGCAGCAACAATCTCATCCATGTCCATATCAAAGATCTGAACGCTACGGCGAAACAAGCTATGCCAGTCGGGGAGGTCGGGCGACGGGCCGAAGCGCTGACGAAACAGGTCGTCCAGGCGACGGAAACAGCGGACGGAGGTGTGACCGATCTTACCGCAAACAGAACCACGGCGAGGACCGGTCTGGAGCTGGTACTGACAGCGCGCGTCACCCGACTCGCCACCCGGCAGCCCACCATGCGCACGACCACCACGTCCACCGCCACCACCAGCGCCAGGCCACCTGGGCGGGAGGCCACTCGCCCGCCTCTGCTACTGCGGCTGGTGCGAGGGCTGCTACTGCGGCTGGTGCGTGTCCGGCTGCGACACCTGCGGCTGCTGAGGCGGCTGCTCGGCTGCACCTGTCAGTGCTACCACTAGGCGACCCGAATCCACCACCACCTCCTCCTGCACCTCCGCCCCCACCGCCGCGCCCAGCCTTGGCGCGGCGGCCCTTCCCGGAACGGATCTGCGCTGCAGCTGCGGACTGAGCCACAGCTACAGAATGGTCGGAGAAGGTGCACTGAGCGGGGGCACAACCCTGAAAGATAGGGACTGGCACAGTACCGCTGGTCTGGGCGATTGAGCGCTAACGGGTCTCTATGGCAGTCAGGGTGTCGACAAAGTCAGTGAGAGTGAGATCACCAGGGTGGGTGCTAAGGAAGTGGTCGCGGGCAGTAGCAAGACGATCAGGGAGGCGGGTGGCAAGCAGGTAGAGGGCAGAGCAGAGGGGCGGCTGAAAGGCTCTAAGCTGGGTCTCAGTGCAGGCAGCACGCCAGGTCGCGTCTATCGTGCGCGGGTGAGCGGCTAGGTCAGCGTCAGTAGGGAAGGACGCAAGGTCAGGGAAGAGCATCGGTAGGATCAGGCGACCTACAGAGGCAGCAGGCGGGGTGGAATAGCGCTTGACGACAGCCTCTAGAAAATCCTGCGCAGGCGTGACTGACCGAAAGCGTGGGCGCTCAGACAAGGGGGGGGGCATGACTGATCGCAAGCTGCACGACAGCGTCACGCGACAGCCAAACTGAGCGGGCAAGGGCAGCACCTGCAGCGGACTCATGGTCAGCGGACGAGGGGTCAGCAGGCAGGGGAGCCGGGGGGTCAGGGCAGGGGAGCGTACCGTCAAGGTGGACCGCCAGGGAGTGGCCGTCCTGCCGCTGACCAGTGAGGTGACGCCGGAGGTCGACCAGCCACGTGTCAAACTCGATCGGCTGTCCCTCTGCGTCGAAGCGGAGCACGGCGTCCGCCATCAGGAGCGATGCAGCAGCGGCGCAGTGCTGTACGGTGCAGTGCGGTGTTGTGCGGTGCACAGAGGTGCAATGCGGTGTGCGGTGCAGTGCAGTGATGTGCGGTGCAGTGCGGTGCTGTGCGGTGCAGTGCAGTGGAGAGCGGCACAGCGCGGTGTAGTGCGGTGCTGTGCGGTGTAGAGCGGTGCCTGGCGATGACGGTCGGGAAGGACGAGCCGGGCACGAGTCGGAGGTGGGCGGCGGCGAAACGAACGCGGGGCCGGCGCGGAGAGGGCGTGAAGAGGCCAGCTAGGAGAGGGCACGGGGCCAACAAGGTGCGGGTGCAAGGGGCCGGTACGGGGCGAGCGCAACGGGGGCGCGAGGGGCCGGCTAGGGATGAGCGCGACGCCTCAGGGGAGGGGCCGGCTAGGGATGGGCGCAACGGCTAGGACGGGCCCGACGGCTGGGACGGGCGCGACGGCGCTGGGAGCCGGCTGGGACGGCCGCGGCGGCTCATTGGGGGACCGGCTAGGACGGGCGCGACGGCGCAGGGGGCCGACTAGGACGGGCACGACAGCTCAGGGGGCCAGCTAGGACGAGCGCGAACGGCGCAGGGGGCCGGCTAGGGACAGGCGCGACGGCTCAACGGGGCGGCTAGAACGGGCGCGACGGCTCAGGGGGCCGGCTAGGACGGGCGCGAACGGCGCAAGGGGCCGGCTAGGAACAGGCGCGACGGCTCCGGGGGCCGGCTAGAACCGGTGCGAACGGCTCAGGGGGCTGGTTAGGACGGGCGCGAACGGCTCAAGGGGGCCGGCTAGGACGGGCGCGACGGCTCTGGGGGCCGGCTAGGACGGGCGCGAACGGCACAGGGGGCCGGCTAGGAACAGGCGCGACGGCTCAGGGGGTTGGCTAGGACGGGGGCGAACGGCTCAGGGGGCCGGCTAGGACGGGCGCGAACGGCTCACGGGGGCGGCTAGGACGGGCGCGACGGCTCAGGGGGACGGCTAGGACGGGCGCGAACGGCGCAGGGAGCCGTCTAGGAACAGGCGCGACGGCTCAGGGGGCCGTCTAGGAACAGGCGCGACGGCTCAGGGGGCCGGCTAGAACGGGCGCGAACGGCTCAGGGGGCCGGCTAGGACGGGCGCGAACGGCTCAAGGGGGCCGGCTAGGACGGGCGCGAACGGCACAGGGGGCCGGCTAGGAACAGGCGCGACGTCTCAGGGGGCCGGCTAGGACGGGGGCGAAAGGCTCAGGGGGCCGGCTAGGATGGGCGCGAACGGCTCAGGGGGCCGGCTAGGACGGGCGCGAACGGCTCAGGTGGCTGGCTAGGACGGGCGCGACGGCTCAGGGGGCCGGCTAGGACGGGCGCGACGGCTTAGGGGGCCGGCTAGGACGGGTGCGAACGGCGCAGGGGGCCGGCTAGGAACAGTCGCGACGGCTCAGGGGGCCGGCTAGGACGGGCGCGAATGGCTTAGGTGGCCGGCTAGGACGGGCGCGAACAGCTCAGGGGGCCGGCTAGGACGGGCGCGACGGCTCAGGGGGCTGGCTAGGACGGGCGCGAACGACGCAGGGGGCCGGCTAGGAACAGGCATGACGGCTCAGGGGGCCGGCTAGGACGGGCGCAACGGCTCAGGGGGCCGGCTAGGACGGGCGCGAACGGCTCAGGGGGCCGGCTAGCACGGGCGCGAATGGCTCAGGGGGCCGGCTAGGACGGGCGCGATGGCTCAGGGGACCGGCTAGGACGGGCGCGAACGGCGCAGGGGGGCGGCTAGGAATAGTCGCGACGGCTCAGGGGCCCGGCTAGGACGGGCGCGAATGGCTCAGGTGGCCGGCTAGGACGGGCGCGAACGGCTCAGGAAGCCGGCTAGGACGGGCGCGACGGCTCAGGGGGTCGGCTAGGACGGGCGCGAAAGGCGCAGGGGGCCGGCTAGAAGCTGGCGCGACGGGCTAGGGGCGGCGCGACGACGAGGGTCTAGGGCGGAAGCGTGGGCAGCGGGACCTTCCTACCAAGCGTGATACCATCTTAGCATAGGATTGAATATCGAGAGAAAAACGTACAAGGGTATAAGCCTAAGTGTTGTACCCTCTAAGATACGAACCTATACAGTCTATACAAATATAACCTATATATATATATGTTTGACACACCTAGCACTGCTGCTGCTGCTGCTGCTGCTGCTGCTGCTGCTGCTGCTGGGTCAATGTCCCTGTCAGAGTGTGTGATCTCTGTAGCAGATTCCTCATTAGCAGTTGCTCGGTGAAGTTCTGGACTCTAAGTGACTGTTACAACCCAAATTCATTTTGCATTTTACATAAGACACGGACTCTATATCTTTCCAGCCTACTGTCAACACCCATACATTTTTTTGATGAATTTCTGACAATACCCTAGGGTGCTATATATGGGGGAAGACGGTAATATTCCTAAACACCATACCTCCAAACCCAAACGCAGTCTAGCATCAACTCAGCCTGTAATTTCTTCCCTTTACACTGTGCAGCCAAGCAAGGGCAGTCTGGCTGCTTAGTGCCTTCACTACTTCGCTCTCCACGACTCCATTTATACTCGTAGAGCGTAGAGCCCCGTAGTCTACCGGTAGACTGCTGCTGACAACCTTCGCCAGTAGTTCCATCGCATGACACCACTGCATCATCACCACATCTTGCCAAACCGAATTCCATCCATACCCTCTCCTCCCACCCCCTCCACCCCAAGCCCCCATTCCTGGCAAGCTCTGTAGTAACCCAAGAAGAGGGTTTCACACCTCAGAATCAGCTCCTGTGTCGCATCACTTCGCGTCACTTTGCATCACTTCTCGAGCAGAGCTAGAGCCGCCCTGCGCAGATCCAGCCACTCCTGCCCCATGTTGCCCTTCCTCTTGTCAAAGTCCCTCCAGTTGTCCAGATCCTCCGTATCCAGCGGGGACTGCCCGTCGAAATTCACGATACGCGGGTGAGGGTAGTACTGATGCAAGCGCTGCCGCATCCACAAGTTAAGCCCGTATTCATACGGCATGCGGTGTAGCGTGCTCTCCCTGTACCAGGTCCCATAGTACGCGTTCAAAAACAGGTCCAGGTACGCTGTCTGCAGTGGCCGCAGCGGGGCCGACTCGATCGCCGAAACCATGTGGTGCAAAGTGGCCGACTGCGGTTGAATCAGCATCACTCGGGTGGAAAACAAATCGGGGGGAAATCGCAGCGGCGGCGCGGCAAACGGGCGGAACACACCAAACATGTGGTTGCAGTTGTCCTTGAAAAGCGAGAGCGGGTCAACGTAAACAATCCTCTGAAAATCCGTCTGGTTCCAGAGATGCAGCACGGCAAACTCCTCCAGAAGCTCCCTCATGCCTCGGCCTTCCCGAACCGAGATCGGATCCACCACCCGGACGTGGGTGAACAGCCGGCGAAGATTCGCGAGCGACGGCTTGGGGACGGAGGACAGCGCGAGAACCAGCGTGTCGTGCCGTGTGAGCAGGAGGAGATCGTCCAACTGCTGTGCTGCCATGCTGCTGCCGCCGCCGCTGCTGCTGCTGCTCTCTATGATCTGCCGGCGCTGCGCCTGCTGCTGCTGCTGCAGCTGGGAGGGGTCGTGGTACTTGTCATATGACATGGCCCATGCATACGCATGCTCCACGTTGCCGGGACCCACCACCGTCGCAAACACCATCTTCCTCGCCCTCCGTGCAGCAACCTCGGCAGCCGCAGCAGCAGCAGCAGCAGCACCACCATCCCCAGCAGCACCATCAACACTATCAGCAGCACCCTCAGCACCCTCAGCAGCAGCAGCAGCGGCAGCATCCATCTCCTCATCCACCACCCCCACATCAATCCCTGCAGCCAGGGCCGGTCGGCTCCACATGGACGCGAGCTGCACCTCCACAACCGCTTGCACCTTCGCCCCCTTCTCCTCCCCGTTCCTCTCCCCTATCTGCCCCGCCACCTTTGTCCCCCCCGCCTCCCCCCCCCCCTGCTCTTTAACCCCCTGCCCCTCACTCTCACCAACCCCCGCCTCCCACTTCCTATCTGCCAGCTCTCCCTCCCCTCCCACTCTTTCCCCCTCCCCCTCCCCCTCTCCCTTCTCCCCCCCCTGCGCGTTCCGCCTCTGTGCCTCCTCCCCGAGCAGCCCCGTCGAGTGCCCCGCAACGCGCACCCACTCGTAATCCCCCTTATTAGGCAATCCGTTAACCAGCACCTCCTCCGCCTTACCCCTCTCCAGCGGGCGCCAGCAGTTCTCAAACAAAGCCTGCGAAAGATCATGCCACATCGCCAACCACCTGGTAACCGGCTGCCGCCCCTTCACCCAGCACCGATGCGTGCACCCGTTCGGCCCCGACACGGGTTTAATCTCCCCGAATCCCGCGGGCTTCCCCCACGGGCCGCCATAGTGGAGGATCATAAGCGGCCCGAGAGTCTCGTGCGCGTTTTCCGCGTCGTACCAGGGGGGAGGCGGGTACTGGTCCGGGTAAGACAGCATGGCGTTATAGCGGTAGTCTAGGCGGTGCGCCGCGGTCTGGTTGGCGAAGTTCGAGAAGACGGCGTTTAAGAAGCCCTGGTCGCCGCGATCCACGGAGCCAATCACGTCGATGGTGCGCAGGAGCGCGTCGTAGGTGGCCTGGGGGAGGGGAGGGGGGAGGGAAGGAGAAGATCCGCGCCGGGGGAGAGTTAGCGCGTAGGGTACGGGGGAAAACGGGAGCGGGGAAAATGAGGAGACGGCACGGGGCATTGGCGGAAAGGAGGATAGCGAGTAGGGTGGCGGCGGAAGGAGCGAGTAGGAGCGTGCGAGCGGAGGGAGAGTAGAGGGCAGTGGGTGTGGCACGACGAGAGGAGGGAGGGAGGGAGGGATGCAGACGAGCCTGTGTCAAGACCTATATCCTCCTTTCGACACGTCTGCCCACGCCACACCACACCACACCACATCTCACCACACCACACCACACCACCTCAGCTGATACCAATCAGCCCCGCAGATGACGGCCAGCGACTCACCAGCGACGGCTTGACGACCATGATGCCGGCGTTGAACTGGTTGACCAGGAAGAACCCGGGCGCTCCGGTGATCTCGGGCCGCTCGAACAGGTGGTCCACATTCGCGAGCGGCAGGGTATCCACGTCCAGGTACACGACTTTCGCGAACTCAACCATTCGCCAAATGTGGAATTTCGTGAAATAAATCGCCTTGTACGGGTTGGGAATCCAATCGACTCGTATAACCGCGTCGAAAAAGAGGTGTAGCTGGGGCGGTACTGTAGACATTTCGCCGCCGTCGGCGATCATCAGCACGAGGTGGTGCGGCGTGCGAGTCGCACGCAACGCCTGCGCGAAAACGATCGCCGACGCGACGAGCTTCTTCCCTGTGATGAGCGTAACGTAAGCGAAAGACGGCGATCCCGCCAACGCCCCCCCGCCACCAGTAGAACTACCACTACCGCCAGCAGCAGCACCAGCACCACCATTACCAGCAACGGCGGAAAGACCACGGCCGCGGAAAGACCACGGCCACAGCCATGGCTGCTGCTGCCGAGCCGCTAAGCGCATTAGCCGCTTCTTCTCCTCCAGGTGCGCGCAGAGCCGGCCGCCGTTTGCGGTCTGCGGGCCGGCTTGTAGCGAGGATAGGCCGAGGCGGTCCGCGGAAGCGGAAAAGGCTTCCCCTTTCGCGGAGCATTGGGAGAGGTCGAGCGCGTCGGAGTCGTGCGCGGAGAGCATTGGGGGGCCGCCGCAATGCTGCGAAGGGGGAAGAGGGGGAGTGGGGGAGCCGAGGAAGAAGGGGGAAGGGGGGGAGAGGGGGGGGAGAGGGGGGGCAGGAGTTTAGGGTTGGGGTGTGGAAGAACGCGAGTGGTACTAATGTAAGTGAGGGAGCAAGAGTGGGACGCCACTGCTGGGAGTGATGGGAGCAGAAAGAAAAAAGAGGAGAGGGGGGAGGGGGAGGTGGAAGAAAGTGGAGAAGGGACGAGAAGGAAGTGAGAAGTGAGAGGGAGGAGACAGAGGGAGGGGAGATTGCTAGCGGATACGGAAAAAATGAACAAGAGACGAAGGGGCGTGGAGGGGCCGTGACATAGAAGAAACGGCTAGATCTCCACGCTAATTAGCTAAACCTTGAAGTTTCACGCGATGTACTACATCCACCTTAGCAAGGTCCACGACCACGACCACGACCACGACCACGACCACGACCACGACCACGACCACGACCACGACCACGACCACGACCACGACCACGACCACGACCACGACCACGACCACGACCACGACCACGGTCCAATGGTGCACTGTTCATGGAGTTTCACTCCACTGCTCACTACACTGTAGGCCACAAAAGCAATGAAGCCCCTAGTCCGTTGCGGACCTCGCCGAGCGGAGGCAGCAGTGCACTGCACACTGCACCGCACAGAACTGCACTGCACTGCGCTGTACTGCACCAAACTGCACTGCACTGTTCTCTACGAAACGCCTAGTCCGTTGCTCACCTCGCCCAGCACCGGTGGCGAGATGCGAGCTCGAGTTGGCGTCCGACGACCACATGAGCGCCACGTCCACGCTCAGCGCTTTAGCGGAGGCAGCACAGCACTGCACTCTGCACCGCACTGAATTGCACTGCACCGCGCTACACTGCACTGTTCTCTACGAAATTCCTAGTCCGTTGCTCACCTCGCCCAGCATCGTGGCGAGATGCGAGCTCGAGTTGGCGTCCGACGACCACATGAGCGCCACGTCGACGCTCAGCGGCAGCAGCAGCAGCAGCAGCGCCGCCGTCACCGCGGACGCCGCCACTAGCGGGCTCTTGTGCCAGCCGTGCCATCCGACGGCGAGCACGACGCGGGAAGTGAGCGACTTGGCCATGGGGACGAACTCGGCACGAGCAGGAGAAGGCACGAGCGGAGAATGGACTTGGGTTGGCGAGTGAGAAGAGGGAGAAGCTCGGCAGCCGCGCGCGTCGGTTTTACGCCTCAGGCGAAGCCATGCTCACGGCAAACTTCTAGTTATAGCTCCGACCGCAACGCATTTCTATATGTTTCGGGCGGGTGCTGCTGCACTTACAGGCGCGTGTGTGATAGCTGAGAAAGCATACTAATGGAATTTGATGATTGCTGGAGGAACGAGTGCGCAAAGCAGGTGCAGTGTCCGCGTGGTTTTAGAGAAAGGCTTGGCGAAATGAAGAAAGGATCCAAGAATTAGGCAAGTACACCTTTTCTTTTATTTAGTTTTACATTTTTTGCACGCGGCTTGAGCTTGTAAGCAGGAAATGGTAAAACACGGGCAAACGGGACCTTGAAGGGGAAAACCCACAGAAAGCACTGACACATGGTTACAAAATCTAGATTAGTTGCTTGCGCGACGTCCCAGCTCGGAAACTCGCAATTGTCGAAGTACGACTTGGCTGTTCGCTATCGTTCAGGCTGCAGCCAATCAGGTTCAGTGTCAACGCGAGTCATGCTGAGAACGAGGTGGGTGGGATTGCAATTTGGACTGTTTCAGGAGGGACAATAGAGAGTGACATTTGTACGGTACGGTACTGTACTGCAGCAGATTTGGCAAGGCGAAAGGTGCTGCTGCTGCTGCTTGATGCGGGTGGCAGGCAGTGGCGGGGAAGGGAGGGGGGGATGGCACGGCAGTCCCGCCATAATTGGCTTGACTTGAGAGTGCGTCAAGTGCTTTTGCTGAGCTGAGCTTCCCTCCCTCTCGTCATAGTCACACGCAGCTGCTGGCTCGCCGCGTCGCCTCAAATCAGACTGAGATTGCGCTTCGGACAGGACACCCGTAGCGCGTACTCTTCATCGAGGGCCGGGTGAGTCATGGAGGTTATTTCTTTGGTTCGGTGCTGCTGTGTGAGCTGATTTGACACCGAACCCGAAGGTGCGTGCCTTGACCCAAGCCTTCCAGACAGCTTCGTCCGTGAGCCCTTGGTCTGGTTTGGGCTGTCAGACTTCGGCTGGAAACCTCAACTAGATGCAAGTACACATATGGTGAAGGCATGCACGTACAAAATCTTATAAATACACGTTATAGTCCTCACTAAATGCTTGATAATTGCACTAATGCAAATAATAGATCGCTTAAACAAGTCTTTAGTAAGGAATTAGAAATTCCTTACTGAGGCTTGCTACAAAACGTACGACTCAAACAGTCCTGAACCAGCGATAGGGTTCCATACCTTTCAATTCGAGCCTCCTGGGTCTTTCTGGATCTCGCTTATACACATCGATGCCTTTCGATACTGTTCCTGTAACTTTCGATCCTAAGTCCAGGATCACCCGAGGCTTCTTAGGTTAAAGTGAGAAATGAATGATAACTAGAAGTGGAAACCTAGAACAAGTACTAGCTGGTTGTACTCACTAGAAACATACCCCAGTCTAGCCTATAACTTGTCCACAGCTAACATGTATAAGTTGACACACCCCCTAAGCTAGACAAGGGGTGAAGCTAAGCAAGAAGCAAACAGCTCAGGGTGGCACTACTAGTCCAACCACTGAGACAGGGGTATGGAGACCAGTCAGCAAGGATACAAACAAGACTAAAGCAAGCCAGGGCGGCACTACTAGTCCAGCCACTAGAGGTAAGGCCACAAGGCCAGTCTGACAGGCATATATAATAGAGTGTACACAATCAGGATCCTAACAGGTGAGTAGCTACAGGAACAAGACCAAGCTGTACACAGTGCCGCTGATGATCTTTAGGCGCAAGCGCCTTAGTAAAGATATCAGCTATGTTGGCACCTGAGGCCAAGTGAACTACGCGAGCCTGGCGGCGCTGCTGTAGCTCGCGCAGGAGGAAGTACCGCAGCTGGATATGCTTCGCTCTGCCCTCAAGCCAAGGCTCCTGACACAGGAGTATCATGGCCCTGTTGTCAGCGTACAGGACCGGGGCAGAGCTAGGCCGCTCACCTAAGTCTGTGAGCAAGAAGGTCAGCCAGCGGAGCTCTTGTGCCGCCATGGCACCAGCGTAGATCTTGTTGTGGTAAATGAAGTTTCGCATTCCTGCAAGTTCCGTTTTCAGTGTAGTTAGCAGTATCGAGTTTCTCAGTAAGGAAACAGGTCCGAGTGCTGATGTCAGCAAAGCATCGTGGGTCTCGGCATGACGTCAGCATACCGCTTCAGTCACGCGAACAGTCGCGACCCTATAGTATGACGAATAGGTCGCATAGCGAGATAGTGACAAACAGGTACATTAGCGAACAGGTACTTTTCCTAGAGCTATAAATCCTTGTAATGCCTTTTCTATTATTAACCTTGACTTTCCACAGAATTATGTGCTCAGGTTATTCAACCTTCGACTACCCACAAGTTCATGTGCTCAGGTTCACTCTGATAAGACTTCCGCTGTCTTACTAGTCTACCATTCCAGCAAAGATCCTTGGTTAAGTACTCGTGTTTGTAGATTCTATACTTAGTCTCCTATAACACCAGACGATTTATTCCATGGTATGAGAGCTATCGAGAATTAAGACTACCGTCAACTATGACAGGTTCATCACCAGCACCATCTGCTGGATCAGCTACTGGGACTACTGGAGCACATGCCTCCACTACCGCCGCTGGTCTCTCAGCCTCTGGGCACTTTCCACCAGCCTATGCTAATATCGGTATGCAGAATCCGCCTTCTGTGAATACTCCAGGTGCTCCATCGACTGCACCTGCAATGCAGCAGCAACAGTCACAGACAACAGCACAGCAACAAGCATCAGTACAGCCACCAGTCTCAACGCAATCAATTTCATCTGCGTTCAGTGGAATGAGCCTTGACGGCTCAAGTTACATGCGTGGAGCTACAGCTCCAAGTACTGGTTCATTCGCTTTCTCACCTTTCGTACAGCAGCCGCAGTCGCAGCAGTTTCAGCATCCTTTTTATGTCTTCGGTCGTTCCCCTGCTCAGCAACCACAGCAAGTACAGCAACAGCAACAGCAACAGCAACAGCAACAGCAACAGCAACAGCAACAGCAACAACAACAACAACAACAACAGCAGCAACAGCAACAGCAACAGCAACAACAGCAACAGCCAGGCATTGTTTTTCAGCCTCCAAATTTGCTCAACAATACTCAGATCACGACAACCGTACATTTTAATGGTGTCGACTTCTACTCCTGGAGCTTTGAGTTTGAGCTTCTGGCGCAGTCCGCTGGGCTATGGCCGTTCTTCACTGGTGAATTTACGTATCCTGTCGTGGGAACACAACTGGAGCAGCAGAGTTTCTTACACGCCTCTCTCGGGGCGTATACAGTTCTTGTACGGAACTTGTCGCAGAAGGAGCAGCTCGGCGTTCGGTCATTTCACTCAAGTTTTACCCCAGCCGAAACTGCATGGAACCATCTGCAAGGGGTATACATGGCAAAAGATACGATAACAGTGAGTAAAATCCTTTCGCAGCTGACAAGTGTGCAGATGATGACAAACGAAAACGTCATGGACTACTAGTCTACGCGATCAACTGGAGAAAAGTGGGGGATACTTCCCTCGAGAGATGTATCTCACGGTCCTTCTTGCTGGCCTTGGTCCCGAATGGCGACAGATGCGCGCCTTTCTGCGCATGAACCCCAACCTCTCCGAAGCAGAAATTTCTTCTTATCTTCAAGCAGAGCAGCAAGATCTTGACCTGCAGTCACAACGCAACAAAAGGGGGGATATACAACTCAGTTTCTATTCACCACCAACTCGACGTCCTCGACACTTCTGTCAAATTTGCAACAAGGGAGGACATTCTACCGACCGATGCTATTTTAACAAGAGGTATTTACCTCCAGAAGAACCACAGCAGTCGAAATCATCACAGCCGCTACGACAGTCTTCGAAGCAGTTTTTTCAGCAACATGCGCCTCCAAAAGCAACATCTGCAATATCAACACCACCAACAACACTTAACAATGCTCCTCCAAGCAACTCAACAAAGCCGACAGCTGCTCATTCAAACTCTGCCAACAATATGGTAACCTCCAATTTTCGTTTACCTACTTCATCCACTCACATGGTTAACTGCAGTACAGATACCGATACTTGGTACTTGGATAGTTGTTGTGGCCATCATATGGTCTCTTCAACTAATCCTTTCATCTACAACCATTGTCGACTTCTTCAACCCTGCCCAATCAAACTCGCCAATGGTCAAACAATTTCAGCAGAAAATATCGGCAGTCTACTTTTGACATCAATCGATACGGGAAAGTCTTTATGCCTTACCAGCGTTTTACTCGTCGACAATCTTGGCTTCAATTTAGTGTCAACTCTTCAACTCTTGAAGAAGAAAATCCGCACGGTCGGAAACTGCACGACACAGGAGCAAGAGTTAATACATCATGTGGACAACACGTACATCGGAAGAGCAGCAAAAAAAAATGGCGTATTCGTCTTACGCTTCAAGGCAGCAAAATCTTCCGAAGATGTCACTCTCCCTCAAGCTCCTTCAATCATTGCAGCAGCCGCTTTGGTAACCGTTCCACCAATTGAACTCAGCCGCAGCGAAGAAGAAACTCCTAGTAGCAGCCCCACCGACACACCTGCCGTTAATATCAAGAAAGATATTAGTCACGAATACGAAGAAATTCTGCAACTCGCACCTGAAAATTGCTTCGACGCGACAACTACTCTCGACAAGCCTTCGGATACGTCTTCAACTACCAGTATCTCAGAAAAAGGTTATGCACTCTCAAGGTTTCTCCTACCTTCATATTTCATGCTCTTGATTCTTGCTTGGCTGGCCATAGCAGCAAGCGAGCTCCGTACCCCGCTGCAAACTTTCCTACACTACAGAGAAGCCGCTTACCAGACTACGACTTCCACCGTCTACGAGCAAGGCACGGGCCTCAACTGCTACCAAACCCCTCGTCATCGCGTTCAACAATGCAATGAAGCAGAAGGGTTGAACAATACCCTACACGAGCTACGTGAGCAGCTGCGTGCACTGCTGACTCAACAAATTTCTTTGCCCGTCACTTCACGATTCTCTGTCAAGCCTCCGGATGTTGTCGAGGCTCCTCTCCACTACGTGCAACACTCTCGTGGTTTTGCATTCGTTCACTTTGGCCTTGCCACGTTCATTGGCGCAACCCCAACCACTTTCAACCCGACTCATTTTTACTCTGCCGAAGTGAGGGGGGGAAGGAGGATCTACACGC